TGACAAGTAGTGGATTCAGTATATGTTTTGAAGATAAGACTGGCAGGTTATGCATGGAGTGAGTGTAGGGTGTGAAGGAAAGAGGAGTCAAGTATGACTCCAAGTTTTGTTCAGAGGATGGATGTACAGTGACCAGGAGGATGAGGACGAGGAGGGACGCCCAGGAAGAGTTGCTATTGTCTTAGAGGAGGACCACTAAGAGCAGGGCAGAGGGGACTGTCAGGAGCTTGAGTTTGAGGTGTCTATTAGATCTCCAAAGACAGGTGTTGAGTAGACAGTGGAATTTCAAAGTCTGGAGTTCGGTGGGGAGACCCAGGCTGGAGCTATGAATCTGGGAGCCGTCCATGAGAACTGGCAGTGATACTAAGAAGGTTGTAGGGTTGAGGGAAGAGTAGGAACAAAAACAGAGTAGACAAAGAGAAAACAAATACAAGGATGGATCCAAACCCAAATATATCAGTAATTACATTAAATATTGCTGGATTAACTGCTCCAGCTAATAGGCAGAGACTGTCAGAATGGAGATTTTATGCACATTCACTGTCCAAAAGAAACACAGTTTAAATATAGAAACACACGTAAACTGAAAGTAAATGGGTGGAGAAGGATACATGATGCAAGCAGCAGGCATGAGAAGGCTGGAGTGGCTGTCTTAATACCAGGGGAAACCAGCTTCCAGGCAGGAAGTATCTCCACAGATATAAGGGGACACTTCCTTATGATAAAATGATCAATTCATCAAGAAGGCATAACAACCATAAAAGTGTATGTGCCTAATTACAGAGATTCAAAATACGTGAAGCAAATATTGATACAATTACAGGGAGAAGGAGACATGCCCACAGTGTTGGTGTGAGAGTTTCACACGCCCCCCAGCTCTTAGCAACAGACAAGATTGCTAATAGAGTAAGTAGGCAAAGATCAGGAAAAACCAGATCTGAACACTGTCACCTACATTTTAGGTGCCTGATAGGACAGAACACTGTTCTTTACAAGGATTTACGGTCCATCTACCAGGACAGACTGTACACTGGGCTAGAAAAACTCTCAGTAAACTTGAAAATATTGAAATCATACAAAATATCCTCTCTGACTACAATGAAATTAAATTGGAAATCAGTAACAATAAGATAACTTGGAAAACCCCAAATATTTGAAACTTAAACAACGCACTTCTGAACAATCCATAGGTCGAAGAAAAAATTATAAGGGAATTTAGAAAAGGTTTCGAACTGAAGAATAATAAAAATGCAACATACCAGAATTTGTGAAGTGAAGTGAAAGCGATGCTTATAGAGAAATATACAGAATATGATCTTTTAATTTAGAACCAAGATGCCTGGCACAGCTCACCCGATTCTCTGTTTTGAGTACTTCTGATCTTTTAATCCTGTCTCAACAAGGGAGAAGATCTCACTGAATGACCAAAGGTCTGCAAGCTTTTCCCAGGGTCCTGTTCCGAACTCCCCGAAGCCCAGGTTGCCCCGGGCACGCTGCTTGGGCTACAGGAGAACTCAGAGAGGAAGGCAACCCTCCAGTACCACAGGGACAGGCTCGCTTTGATGCAGATTTCTGCAAGGTTGGTGAGTAAGGCCATGAAATACAGTAGGATTCTGCAAAGTCCAGGAACTTTAAACATCACCATCCTAAATAAATTCGACATGTGGAAATGCCACAAGAAGGCTCTGAACACTTTATAGATATTTCCCCAGCTCTGGTCTAGAGACGTCACGGTGTTTTGGTTTTAGATCCAACCCTGATTCAATTCTCTAGATAAATAAACCCTCCCAAGACCTGATCCTGTAGCCGTGCTTGAGCAGAACTCGTCTGACATCGGCAGAAGGTGCCCAGAGCAAGGACTTCACAGCTGAGGCTCGAACTCGTATTTAATCAGGTGCCTGCGAGCCTCTGGACAAAAGATCAGGCTCCCGTGGACAGTTCTGCTCAAATGGCACCAGTGAAAATGATTGGCCGAGGCACAAATAGTTTCTAATTATAGTATCATCGCAGAAGTAGTATTTCTCACTTCTCCTTTGAGTCAGAAAGTGTCAAAGTGTTTTGTTTTGTTTTGTTTTGTTTTTGTTTTTGTTTTTTAAAGTCCCGGAGCACATTCTACTTTGTGGAGGACCAGACACCTGAGAATCTGGGGCAAACAAATTCCAGGCAGAGGAGACAGCTAGAGACAGCAGAGTGGATCTGGGGTAATCTGCACGGCTACCGAAGGATGCTGGGTGCAGACGCATGGAGGGAAGGGAGGGCACCCCCAGCCCCAGGAGAGAGCCCTAAAAAGCAGGGAGGTCTGGGACATGTCAGGAGCAGGCAGAATATACCAGCTGGGAAGGGGGGTTGGAGGAGGCAGGAGTGTGAGCTCGGGGGAGGGCTCTTGGGACAGCTCTCTGGCTGGACAAGTCACCCAGTGACCTCCACATCCTTTCCATCTGCTCCTGCTGCCTCCACCACCCAGCTTAGAAGAGGCTAGCACTCCCACATGGGGCAAAGTAGCTGGTGAGGCAGGCAGAGGGCTTGACTCTCCCAAGTTCCTCCCAGGGTCATTTTGTGCCACTGTTTTCTGACTCCCAAATCAGGACCGTTGTCCATCAAGTCACTTACACTACAGGGCAGGCTCTATGGGGTTGTGTGGTCCTGCTCTAAACAGCCTGGGTTTGAATTCAGTAGGTCAGACTCCAGGACACCGCTCAGTATCCTACCCAATAAGTGTATTCATTAAATAAGTTCTTTTTCACTTCTTGTCTTTGCAGGGTCAGCTCACAGCTCTAACGCTGACTTTGAAAGCGGAACCATTCTCTCCATCCTTAACGTGTCCTCCTCGCCAGTTTGGACGAGCTGGCTGAATGTAGCTCAACACTGCCACCCAGCGTCAGCAGCGGGATGGCCCGGTCCTGGTGCAGCTTCAAACACCTTCCTTCCCCCGACTGCAAAGGAAGATGCTTATTGTAAGACTGTCAAGTTAGCTTGTAGAGAATTATTCTAAGAGCCCACTTACACAGAGAAAAGCCAGAGCATCTCTGCTTTGACCCCTATATGGAAATTTCTCTGATTTTCCTTAACTTCCAAAGTCCATCAAATTGTACCTGCTTTTGTGATAACAGTCTTACTGGTTATGTAAGGTAACATTCTTTCTTTCTTTCTTTCTTTCTTCCTTCCTTCCTTTCTTCCTTCCTTTCTTTCTTTCTTTTTTTCTTTTTTCTTTCTTTTCTTTTCTTTCTTTCTTTCTTTCTTTCTTTCCTTTCTTTCCTTTCTTTCTTTCTTTCTTTTTCTTTCTCTCTCTCTCTCTTTCTCTCTTTCTTTCTTAAACTTTCTTATTCATAGGAGAGGCACACTGAAGTATGTAGGGGTAAGTGCCACAATGTCTACAACTGACTTTCAAACGGTTCGTGGGAAAGTGAGGGGGCGTGGGAATATGAGAGTTAATGACTGACTCTGGATGGGTGGTGCACAGACGTTCACTGGACAGTTCTTTTAATGTTTAGTACATTTGATAGTTTTCAAAATCAGAAGTCACAAGCATCCCTGGGTGTTTGAGGAGAGAGGACGAGCATGGTCCCAAGGTCGAAATCCAGACTCAGGAATGTGGACCAGGTGTGCCCTCACGTGGGACTTCTAGGGGCCTGTGTGTTGCTTGTGGGCAAATCGATCCTGTGGGACTGGATCCCAGCCAACAACCTTAGAAGTAGCCCTGAACCTCCTTGGAGATAAGTAACTTTCCCCTGCTTGGTAAGTTCGGAGGCTCCAACCAAACAAAACACAGCACTCAACAGAAGATGATTGACATGGTCAACACGAGTGTTATTTGGAAGCAGAGAGGATGTGGAAAAGGAGGGTCCCTTGATGCATGGCTGGAGGGACAGCACAGCTGGTTTGCAGCAGAGGAACTGGTATTTCCAGCTTTACTGAGAAGTGATCGGCAGACGTGACTGCGTGAGTTTAAGGCACACAATGTGATGTGATACGTTGCATTGATGATGTACTGCAAAATGATTATCAGACTAAGATTAATTAACATATTCATCATCTCACGTAATTAAATTTTTTGTAGTTAGAACGTTTTCTTAGCAACTTTAAAGTCTAAACTATCATTCGCTTTAGTCACCGGGCTGCACATTAGATCCCAGGATTCATTCATCTTGTAACTGGAAGTTTGTACCCTTGGATCAACATCTCCCCGTTTCTCCCACCCACCAGCCCCTGGCAACCACCAATCTACTGTTTCTATGAGTTCAGCTTTTTTAGATTCCACATATAAGTGATCTCATATGGTCTTTGTCTTTCTCTGTCTGACTAATTTCACTTAACGTAACAGCCTCAAGATTCATTCATGTTGTCACAAGTGGCAAGATTTCCTTGTTTTTTACAGCTGGATGATATTCCACAATATTCCACATTTTCTTTATCCGTTCATCTATGGATGGACACTCAGGTTTATTCCACGTTTTGGCTGTTGTGAATAATGCTGCAGTGAACAGGGGAGTGCAGAGAGTTATCTTCAAAATAGTGACTTCCTTTCCTTGAGATATATTTCCACAACTGGGATTGCTGGGTCGTAGGGTAGTTCTAGTTTTAATTTTTTGAGGAATCTCCATCCTGTTTTCCATCATGGCTGCACCAATTTACATTCCCCTCAACAGTGGCAAAGAGTCCCTTTTTTGCACATCCTCGCCAAAACTTATCATCTGTCTTTTTGATGACAGTCATTCTAACAGGTGTGAAGATAGCTCACTGTGGTTTTTTTGATTTGCATTTCCCTGGTAATTAGTGACATTGAACACCTTTTCATGCACTTTATGCAGGTCTTCTTTAGAAAAATGTCTATTCAGGTCCTTTGCTCATTTAAAAAATTTTTTAATTTAATTTATTGTTTTTGTTTATTTGTTTCAGGGGGAAGTAATTAGGTTTCTTTTTTTTTATTTTAACGGAGGTACTTGGGGTTGAACCCAGGACCTCATGCATGCTAGGCATGTGCTCTACCACTGAGCTCTACCCTCCCCACCGCTTTGCTCATTTTTCAATTGGATTTTTTCTCCCTGAGTTGTAGGCTCATACACTTTGCATATTAACCTCTTGTCAGATACGATTTGCAAATATTTTCTCCCATTCCACAGTTGTCTTTTCATTTTGTTTCCTTTGCTGTGCAGAAGCTTTTTAGTTCCATGTAGTTTCTTTCACTTGTTGATTTTTGCTTTTGTTGCCTGTGCTTTTGGTATTATATCCAAAAAAAATCATTGCCAAGACCAACATCAAGGCGTTTTTCCTCTACGTTTTCTTCTAGGAGTTTTATGGTTTCAGGTCTTACATTTACATTTTAAATCTATTTCAAGTTCATTTTTGTGGGTGGGGTAAAAATAGGGGTCCAATTTCATTATTTTGCTTGTGAATATCCAGTTTTCCCAATACCATTTATTGAAGGCATCATTTATATCTTATTAATTTAATTGCCATAGGATGTTAAAATCTTTATTTCTATTTTAATTTCAAAGTAACAAAGTTTTTAATGTTTGCATATTAAATTTGTAATTAGCTCTTACTGAATTTTTTCTTTAAGGTTTTTGTTTTCCAGATGCACATCACTGAAAATAATCAAAATCTGCCCACCTCCTAACCCAAATTTACAGGTCACTTCCTTTCCTGTCTAGTTCCATTGGCTAGTATTTCCCAGACAGTACTGAAGGTAACAGAGATGTCTTTTATTGTTGCTGACATTGTACAGGGCCACACCTGGTGTTTTGTCATTGAGCATGATGTGGTGCTGAACGTGATATGCTTTCCTATTCTTTCCTCATGTCTCAGCTCAATGGGCATGTCTTAAGGGATCTAAACCCCTCACCTCCCTCCCTTGGGGGTCTCTAATTTATTACCTTGTTTTGTTTTCGTCATAGCAATTATATCTGTATTGATTATGCATTTTGCATCGAATTCTGAATTTTCTGTGCATTTACTTTTTCAAAATGTTTGTGATCGTTTTGCCTGCACTTCAACATGTGCTTCCCCAGAGCACTGACCTGCCTGGTATATAGCACTTTCTATTTGACCCACTTCCTGTTTTCTCCCTGCTGGGGGGAAAAAAAAAGAATGCGTTTCTATTTCCTCCCACCGCCTCACCACCTCCCATCTCACTGCCTCGAGTGCCCCACAGCCCCCCACTGGAGCCGCGTGGCTAAATTGCTTCCCTGCCGTCAGCAGTGCATCCCCTACCTTCTCCCTTCATCTCTTGGTTGCATTTGGTCCATTACTGTTTTCTTAAAGGTCTCGGGCACTTGTGTGTTTGGGGGTGTCTACTGTCTTTGTATTTGAAT